TATGGCAACAGCGTTGTATTTTCACACCGAAGTCAATCTTATATCTGTTCCTCCCTTTTGGATTTTGTTTTCCTTTGAGGGAGAAAACAAAATTAAAATAATTCGAAAATAAAATCCCACATTGGCAACCCTACTGCGAGCCTCCGCCAATCGTCGTGGGGGATGAGTTTACATTCTCTGCAGGTATGACAGGTAATTGTGAAACTATACAAATTCATATATGATTTATACACGCAATCTTTATTAACATTTCCTTTTTAAGTGGTTTTTCGCTTAACTTCGTTTTTTTATTTCTTTTTGAGAGAGGGAGGGCAGAGGGCGTTTTTTTCTGCGATTTATTCTTATGAACTAAAGTTTTTAAATAAAAAAATCATTTATTCTATTTAGTTTGGTTTTTATTGTTGTTGTTTTTGGGAAACCTTGAAAATTTTGTGACAGATACTTAACCTACAGAATAATGGTCTATAATTGTGTATGGGGGGGATGGTATCCATTTGAGATAATGATGAAAATACAGTTGTTAGGATGACGACCAAATTTTTAATTAATCTTTTCTACATAAAAACGTCCTCAGAGGAATGAAAAAAAACCCTCGCTCTGCGGTCTATTTTTTCCATAAAACACCTTTTTTAGTCCTTATGAATGCATTTTTCTTCATAAAAATCTTTCTTAATTCCGACAACAGGTTTTTTTTTATTGAAAAATGACTTTTCAAAACCAATAAGATTTTTTTAAAGAGAAAATCCAATAAAAACAAGTCCTATCGCTGAGACAAAATTTTAAGGAAAACGTTTCTACAGTCTTAAAAAATGATCTTAATCAAAAAACCGCTTCCAAACCGCTTTCTCAAGGTCTTTTTTCTGTGGACAACACTTCATCCGTTATGAGGCCTGAGTCTTGTCCAGAGAAAAAAATAAGTTACTTCCGAGTACTTTTTGTACCCCATACCACGTAGTGGTATCTTTATGCAGTTGTTTGTAACATGGAATAGGAAGCAAGATAGACCCATAGTTACATCTGAGGATCTTCATAGAATCACTTTCTGAGTCGATTTATGCATATCTGTCCGTCTGTCTATGTATTCATGTGAAAGAAATGCAGATCGCATTTATTATCCGATTAAGATAACATTTTTCAAACAATATTTGTTTTGCCCAAGTACGAATCCTATTGAAATTGGTGAGAAACGCTTCAAATTTAGATATAACTATAGCTATACATCTTCAACCGATTTCGGGTTAAATGCGAACCAAATGGCCAATATAAGTCCAAATGACCTGAATTTTGCCAAATCACACCTAATTCAGTCCAGGAGCAAATATATGAAATTTGGGGAAATTCAGTTCAGAAATAGCTATAGCTCCCATATAGAGGGGGAGACGAAAAAAATCGCATCCAAGTTCAGACTGCGGTCATTTCTAAAACACTTGTTCGACAGATGTTAAAATTATTCCAGTGACAGCTCATTATATTCTTTATAAGTGTACAAAAGCATTTTGGTGAGAATTTTCCAGAAAACAAGTAAAAAAGCTGGGCCGGGCCGAACTTTAAATACCCTCCATCATTTGGAACGAATTTGGCAATTTTCAAAAACAATAACATCCGGTAAAAATTTTGTTAAAATATTAAGAATACCGAATGTATACGATATGTATACGACGACATGGACCTGCAAAGGTAACATTCGTCACAAGCCATTACAATATTCAAATGCGAAACTTAAAAAGAAATCGGTAAATAATGTAGCTAAAATCACCAAAATACCGAATATCGGGAGGTACCTTTATATGGGGGCTATACGAAAACGTGGACCTGCACAGACAATTTTCTGTCTTACGCTGTAGCAGCCATTACGAACATCACATACCAAATTTGAAACAATTCCGCTGAATAATGTAGCTAAAATCAACAAAATACCGAATATCGGGAGGTACCGTTATATGGGGGCTATACCAAAACGTGGACCTACATGGCCCATTTTCAATACCAAAAGTCCTGCAGACATAATATACTTTGGAGTAAAATTTTATCAATCTACTTCAATTCGTTCGGAAGCTAGAGTGATTTCCACAGACGGACAGACAGAGAGGCGGGCAGACGAACAGACGGATAGATGGACGGACATTACTAAATCGATACAGAATTTTATGCCGATCAAGAATATATGGTCAAGGGTATAAAAAGTTATTCGTGATGGAATTCAAGTGTGATAGTGTGATTTCTGTATATTTGGCTGGAAAGCCACAAGTGGCTATCGTTAGAACACTTCAGCATTTAAATGTTAATATTTTTTTTTTGTCTCGTACCATCGCTCGTTACTCGCTCGTGATACTGGTAGCGTAGACCGACGTCAAGGAGGTGGAGGGGAGAAACCCGCAACATCAGCAGAAATGGTTCGAAAAGTAAAGTAGCGACTTGATCGAAACCCGCGTCGCAGTGGCCGAAAAATGACTCGTGAGCTGAACATATCACAATATTCCATTCGTCAAATATTGAAAAATGAGCTCGGGGTGAAGCCGTTTAAATTCCAAAAAGTGCAAGAACTTACACCGCAACAGAAAGAAAATAGACTTAAAAGAGCTAAAGAGTTGTTTCGCTTGGCCGAAAGTGGTGAAATGCTGAATTTGGTTTTCTCTCTCTCCGATGAGAAAACATTCGTTGTCCAACAGTTTGTAAACAAACAAAATGATCGAGTTTCCTTGCCAAAGAGGTCAGCTGAAAATGTGCACCTTCGGTTGGCCAACAGAACTCAAGCCTCAAGCGCCGGCCATGGTGATGGTGTGGGCCGTCATAACAGCCGATGGTCGCTCTACACTCGTATTAATAGACCGTGGCATCAGAAATTAACAGAATATTATCGCGAAAATATTCTGAAGGGGGTGTATTAAAGCCTTGGGCACGCCAACATCTTGGTCGCAGACTTTGGACATTCCAACAGGACTCAGCACGCGCCACCCAAGAATGGTTACAAAATGAGGTTCCTCACTTCATTTCCAGAGCACAATGTCGACCAAAATCTTCGGATACCAATCCGTTGGACTATTGTGTATGGAGTATTTTGGAAAGCAAGGTTGGCACTAAAAAATACCAAAATGTGTAGTTGACCTCAAGCAAGCGCTTCGCCGAGAATGGACCAAAATGCCGCAGAGCAACATTCGGGCAGCGTGTGACGGTTTCATTGGCCGTTTGAAGGCCGTAATTCGTGCCAAAGGTGACCAATTCAAAGAAATCAAAACTTATTCTAAAATTTTATGCTTTTTCCGACATTTTTTGCTTTGAAAACTGACTTTGTTGCAGTTTTCATATCTCATATATGTTTCATCCGATTTGGTGTTATTATTTATTATTACAATGATATTTATTACCAGATATCAGATACATCCCAGAATTACTTCTTCCAAATTTTATCAAGATCGGTTCAGATTTGGATATAGCTCCCATATATATCTTCAACCGATTTCGGGTTCATTGTGCACCAAGTGGCCAAAATCTGCCCATAATTCCTGAATTTTTGTACATCCGACCGAAATCAGTCTAGAAGCAGGCACATTAAATTTGGAGAAAATCGGTTCAGAAATAGCTATGGCCACCATATATATGTTTCATGTCATTTTGTGTTTAAGTCCCTCAAATTCGTAATATCCATTGATATATCGGAAATATCTTTGACAAAATTTATCGAGATCGACGAAAATTTGGATATAGCTCCGAAAAATCCTAATCTGATTTCAGGTTTATTTGGCAAATAATGGCTAATATCACCGAAATGGAGTGAATTTCGGGACGTTCGTTTACATTTTGTGGAACTCGGCACCGATATAAATTTTTCAATATAATCCTTCTCATGCACTTTAAAGCAATGTTATTTGCTATAAAAGATTAAAATGTCTCCGTCAAATTTAGTGCAAATCGGTTCAAAATCGGCCCCGACCGAATTTTGAATTTTCCTACTTGTTCCTATAAATAAAGTAAACTCGAATTCTTCCAAAGGATACTCAAGTCTCCATATTCAATTTCCAATAAAAAAAATCGTCTCGATCTCGAGAACAGCTTTTTCGCGTTGGTCGCATTTTTTTATCCACGGGAAAATTTCTCATTATTTCCAGATAAATTTGTGAAATATTTATTGTCTTATCGCCAATCAAAAACCCTAATATCAAACATTCCGCTATGTTTGTTTTACTTATTTTCTGCAATAATTAGCAACTTGTTGACTTCTTGGCTGACTCTTTGACAACAACTAACTAACAAACAATAAATGAATGAATGAAATTCTTGAAAAACCTTGCAAAATGAACAATCGACAGCAAGAATGCCAAACAAACCTTGTTCGAGTATTAAAAGTCAAAACAAAAGAAAGGAGTAATAAATTACAGTGAACAAAAAAGCTGACAAAATCAAGGAAAACATAATATAGAGAGAAAAAAGTTGATATGTTGATTATGCTCAGAGAGCTCAAATGGTATGAGTAATAACCCACTAAACGGTGTTTATAGTAATTGGGAGAGGTTGGATTTCTGGAGAGCGTTGAGAAGAGAGTTACAATTTTAATTTAGCTTCCTTCTTCTTAACTACAATATGAGCAACCAAATCCGTTGCTCGTTGCAATAACAAATATCCTCATGTGGTTAAATAACATAGCAAGAAGAATATTCCCACATACATACATATATACACATTTACATATAATTATAAAACTATGTAGCAAAAATTGAAATTCCTTACAAAACTTTAAAAAGGAAAACAGAAATACTTCAAAATCCAAGAAAAAGATTTGTTAACTGATCAACCAAAGTTTAATTTACTTTCAGGTATGAAGAGCACATATACACACACACACACAAACGCAGCCGTAACATAACCACCCAATCGTAGCAGTGTGTGGGGGTGAAATACTCCATTATCATGCAACCCCCCAAAAAATACAATATACAAAATGGCGTTGTTCGCCGGCATTTTACCCTCCCCCCATTACGAATATATATATTTTTGCTACTTACGATATCCATGTGTATATGCCGGAGACCGTCAGCTCACCCTTATCCTCAAGGGCGTATTCGATGAGTTCGGTGTATGTGAATGGTGGTTTCTTTGGCCTGGGGTTGTGGACACGTATAGGAGACGACGGGGTTTTGTGGTTTGTCCGCACATAAAACATCCAAGGTATACATTATTCATCAGCAAGAAAAGGGTAGGATTACAATTAAGGTATCCAGTTGGTTGGTGGTAGGAGGGAGGCACGTTTTTCATAGGAAAATGAAAAAAAAAGAAAATTAATACAAACAATTATTAACATTAAATTATTAGGAATGTCGTATATTTCGTAAGACTGTCGGAGATATGAACGGAACCAAAACATATAACTGTTTTTTTTTTCGAAAGACGTGGCATTTCAAGGGAATATAGGATGAGAAAAGTAATTGACTAACTTAACGATTCATCAACACCCAGATGAAATAACTGAAGCTAGAATTTCGGTGAGGGTCACTCTTGGTCCGAAGGGGTCAGATTAGGCTGGGTTTTTGGAAATTCGCACTAGAACAGTACGGAAAGTATTAGAAGGTACAAAATATGGTACCCTTTGTATTTGAGGAGGCAGTAGAGCTAGAACTTTTTAATTTGCAACGAGGGTCAATGAGGGAGTGCATGACAGATGTAGCAAAGGGTTTTTAGAAATTCGCACCATAAGTGTACGAAAAGTACTAAAATATACTATATTTGGTACCATTCGTATTATTCGGAAGGTTAGAGCTAATAATATGGAATGGGAATCAAGATTGAAGAGTAGAGTCGATGTAAGGAGGTAGTTTTGAAAGTGTATACTCATGTATACGAAAAATACTAAACGGTACTAACTTTACTCCAATTTGAATTTGGAGGAACCGAAGGAGTTGGAATCCTGAAATTTGAAATCAACATTACTTGCTTGGTTTGTGATATGGAAGAAGTTTTCGAAATTTGTACTTGTGTCCACGAAAAGTACTAAATGGTACTAAATTTGGTACAATTTTGATTTAGGTGAACCGATAGAGCTCGGATTTTGAAATTTACAAATAAGATTACTATTACATTCTAGGACTGAGGAATGTAGGTAGTTTTGGAAATTCGTACTTATGTGTACCAAATGGTACCGAATTTGGTACAATTTAAATTTTGAGAGAACCAATACAAATAAAATCTTGAAATTTTATAATAAGATTTCTATTGCATTGTAGGACTGAGGTATGTAGGTAGTTTTCGAAATTCGTACTTATGTGTACAAAATGGTACTAAATTTGGTACAATTTATGTTTTATGTTGGAATCCTTAAATTTAAAATAAGATTTCAATTGAACTGTATGATGTATGTAGTTACGGAAATTTGTACTTAAGTGTACTACATGGTACTAAATTTGGTACAATTTGGATTTGAGTAAACCAATAAAGCTGGTATCATGAAAATGAGAAATAAGATATCTGCACTAAATTTGGTACAATTTGGATTTAGGTGATCCGATAGAGTTTGAATCCTGAAATTTGGAATTATAATTATTGTTGGAGTGTAGAATTGGGTTATGTAGGAAGTTTTGGAAATTCGTACTTATCTGTACTACATTGTACTAAAATGTGTCGGAATTGTGTAATATAATTGTTCGAAAAGTACTAAAGGTACTTAATTTGGTATTGGGTGAAGAGATAGAGCTGGAATCCAAAAATTTGATATTGAGGTGTCTGTTGGTATCCGGGTTTGAGATATGGAGGTGGTTTTGGAAATGTGTAGTACACTTGTATGTAAAACTAAATGTGGAGTTGGGTGATGGGATAGGGCTAGGATCCTCAAATTTGATATTGAGGTCTCTGTTGGAATCTGGAATCGAGATATGGAGGTGGGTTCGGAAAGGTGTTCTACAATTGTAAGAAAAGTACTAAATTGTACTAGATTTGGTATTTTGTGAAGTAATAGAGCTGAAATCTGATATAAATATCTCTGTTGGTGTCTGTGTTTAAGATATGGAGGTAGTTTTGGAAATGTGTACCACAATTTTTTCGAAAAGTACTAAAGTGGTACAAAATTGGGTATTGGGTGAAGAGATAGAGGTACAATTTGATATTTAGATGGTATCTGTGTTTGAGATTTGGAAAAGGTTTTGAAATGCGTCCTATTTATCTACAAAAAGTAGCAAATGGTACTAAACTGGCTATTGGGGGAAGGTATAGGACTGGAATTCTCAAATTTTATATTGAGGTCTCTGTTGGTATCTGGAATTGAGATTTGAATGAGGGTTTGAAAATGTGTACAATAATTATTCGAAAAGTACTAAGTGGTACTAAATTGGAATTTGGATGAAGCTAAAATCCCTAAATTTGATATTTAGGTCTGCGATTGAGTTTGTTCGAAAAGTACTAAATTGAACTAATTTTGGTATTGTATGAACGGATAGAGCAAAAAGAGAGAAATTTTACATTGATGCCTAAGATTGGGATATGGGACGGTATTGCAAAAGAGTAATAAAATTATACGAAAAGTACTAAATTTTGTATTGAGTGAATAGAGCTAGAATTTCGACATTTGATATTGAAATGCGTACTATAATTGTTCGAAAAGTACTAAATAGTACTAAATTTGGATAACTGTTGGTGTCAAGGATGTGGGGATGTCATGAAACGTATTTAGTCCAAACAGACCTATGGTCTAACTTCGTTAGTTCGATGAGGAATGTTTTGGCCGCATCTACTGATATAAATGCCCTGTAGCCATATGTTGTAGGGTATAAAAATCCACCATTAGTACTTGAAAAATGTTGTTTAAAATTCCTTATTTAGTAGTCTAATAGTCCCCTTTCGAAATCCATTTGGGTGGTCTGATAGTCCTTTGAAAAATATTCTTTAAAAATCCACGTTTAGAGGTCAGATAGTCCTTTAATTTTTTTTAAATCCAAGTCCTTTGAAAAATATTCTTTAAAAATCCACGTTTAGAGGTCAGATAGTCCTTTAATTTTTTTTTAAATCCAAGTCCTTTGAAAAATATTCTTTAAAAATCCACGTTTAGAGGTCAGATAGTCCTTTAATTTTTTTTTAAATCCAAGTCCTTTGAAAAATATTCTTTAAAAATCCACGTTTAGTGGTCAGATAGTCAGATAGTCCTTTAAAAAAAATTTAAAAATCCAAGTCCTTTGAAAAATATTCTTTAAAAATCCACGTTTAGAGGTCAGATAGTCCTTTAATTTTTTTTTTTTAAATCCAAGTCCTTTGAAAAATATTCTTTAAAAATCCACGTTTAGTGGTCAGATAGTCCTTTAAAAAATTAAAAATCCAAGTCCTTTGAAAAATATTCTTTGAAAATCCATGTTTAGAGGTCAGATAGTCATTTAAATTTTTTTTTAAATCCAAGTCCTTTGAAAAATATTCTTTAAAAATCCACGTTTAGTGGTCAGATAGTCCTTTAAAAAATTAAAAATCCAAGTCCTTTAAAAAATCTTCTTTAAAAATCCACGTTTAAAGGTCAGATAGTCCTTTAATTTTTTTTAAATCCATGTCCTTTGAATTTTTTTTTTTAAATGCACGTTTAGAGGTCAGATAGTATTTTAATTTTTTTTTTAAATCCAAGTCCTTTGAAAAATATTCTTTAAAAATCCACGTTTAGAGGTCAGATAGTCCTTTATTTTTTTTTAAATCCAAGTCCTTTGAAGAATTTTCTTTAAAAATCCACTTTTAGTGGTCAGATAGTCCTTTAATTTTTTTTTAAATCCAAGTCCTTTAAAAAAACATTCTTTAAAAATCCACGTTTAGAGGTCAGATAGTCCTTTAATTTTTTTTTAAATCCAAGTCCTTTGAAAAATATTCTTTAAAAATCCACGTTTAGAGGTCAGATAGTCCCTTAAATTTTTTTTTTAAATTGAAGTCCTTTGAAAAAAATTCTTTAAAAATCCAGGTCCACAAAAATCCAGAGAGTCCTTTAAAAAAAGTTTTAAAAATTCAAGTCCTTTGAAAAATATTCTTTAAAAAATCCACGCTTAGTGGCCTGATGATAGTCCTTAGAAATATATTTTTAAAAATATACATTTAATAGTCTGATAGTACTTAAAAATCCACGTTTGTGGCCTGATAGTCCTTGGAAACATATATATTTTAAAAATCCACGTTTATTGGCTCGATAGTCCTTGGAAAAATATTCTTTTCAAATCCACGTTTAGTCTTTGAATAGTCCTTAAAAAATATATTTTAAAAATCCATTTTTAGTGATCACATGGTCCTTGGAAAAATATTCTTAAAAACTCTTTGTTAAGTAGTCCGATAGTCCTTGAAAAATGTATTTTAAAAATCCACGTTTATTGGCCTGTTAGTCCTTGGGAAAATATTCTTTAAAAATCCACGTTTAATGGTCTGATAGTCCTTGAAAAAATAGTCTTTCCAAAATCCACGTTTGTGTCCTGATAGTTTTTGGAAAAAAATATTTTAAAAATCCACGCAAAATGTTCGGCTAGTCCTTTAGAAAAAATACTTTAAAAATCCGTGTCTAGTGGTCAGATAGTCGTTGGACAAATAGTCTTTAAAAAAATCCACGTTTATTGGCCTGATAGTCCTTGAAAAAAAATATTTTAAGAATCCACGCATAATGTTCGGATAGTCCTTTGGAAAAAATATTTTAAAAATCCGCCTCAAGTGGTTAGATAGTCGTTGGACAAATATTCTTTTAAAATCCACGTTAAGTGGTCAGATTGTCCTTGGAAAACTAGTTCTTAAAACCCCACTTTTAGCGGTCAGATGGACCTTAGAAAAACGAGTGTTCCAAAATCTACATTTAATGGTTTGAGTTTGAGTACTTCGAAAAATATTTCATAGAAATCCACGTTTATTGATTTGTTTTTCCTTCGAAAAATATTCTTTCCGAATAGTTTTTCTATGGGAAATTCTATTTTAGTTCTGCAGATATCTCTCAGAAATCATAAATTTAGACTGCCTGATATTTTTCACTTACGCTCTTTGTGGAATTGTGGTGGTATCCTCAATGACAACATTTTCGCCAACAGCCATGTCGCCGCCCTCCACTTCTGAGGTTACTTCCATAACCAATTCTTCAAACTTTTTCCCAGCTTTATTGGTACTCTTCGGAGATTTGGAACGTTCTCGTCCATTTGCTGTACCATTTATCACCTTGTAGCCGCCAGCGCCTCCATTACAGTGCATCGAGGATTTTTGAGAGCGATTTGGTCCACCTGCAACATCGGGGTTTAGGTGGGGAAATTCATCAAATTTAAAATTCAAAAGCCATGACAAGTTGCGATCCTCAAAATCGGGTTCAGTGTCCGCAGTGGTGTGCTGGATCATGGCTGGTAATTGTTTTCCACTTTTGGAAATTTCTTCTGCACTCTGAATATATTGCCTTTGATTCGATTGTTCGCCATGATTTTGATTTGAATGGTGTTGTTGTTCCACCAATGTTACCAAATTTTCTTCATGCGGCTTTAGCGGGACCGTTGGATTTAATTGGGTTATTTCCGTTTGTAGGGTGGAGTTATAACGGTGATCCAATTCGAGCAGATCTGTGGCCTGCCAATTATCGGCATTTTCTCCCTCTTCATGGAATTGTTGAGTGGTGTTGACACAAATGGCAGAGGGAGCGGTGAAACTTGGCTCGCCCTGACTGAGCAGGTTATCCGTTGAGGTTGTGGGCACCAACAAATTGGCATCATAGGCAAAGAGATCGTTGATGAATGCCGGATTATTGGTCATAATATTGAAGGATGCCGCCGAGCTGCTACTAGTGACCTGAGTACTCTCCACTGTGGGCGATGAAGTGGTATAGGAGGAGGACACGGGGGAAGTAATGGTAGTGGTAGTACTTCCATTATTTGTGGAGAATTTTTCCGCGCAAGATATGGGAATTTCTGTAGATGTATAGGGCGCCATGGGCGATGATGTTGTATCGGGTGTCATTGTACAGTTCCCTCCATTTTCCTCCCCGACCTGCTTTTGTTTTTTCCACGAATTATTGCTATCACTGTTCTGATTCTCTTCACTCTGATTATTATTTTGACTGATGTCATTCTCATCGTCCGGATATTTTCGTTTCAGAAAATCACAAAATTCACTTTGACTCGGGGAGTTTGAAGCTGCTGCTCCATTTGTGGCGGACATATTTAAAATCATTATTTTTTTTTCAAATTTTGATTTTGTTTTAAATTTTTTTTTTAATTTCAAAATTCTATTTCAACTGTCACCACTTGTCATTCATTTCACCAGAGCCCTATCACTCGGAGTAGGTGTAACCGTTAAACGTTTTGCCCACAACCGTTTAGAGTGGAAAATGTTGTTGTTTACCTTCGCCGAGTTCGTAATCAACTGACTGAATTATCCTGTCTTTCCACCAATTTCCTTTTCCGCTTCATTCGTTCATTCAAATCCCCCCTTAATTGCAGGCTATCGTAGCGTATCAATTTCACATCAATTTTGCGCAATTACTCTCTGGGGGGTTTTCTGTCTCTCAGTCGCTCTCTTCAATATTTCCCTTCTCTTTGACCCTACTGCACAGTGGTGTGAAAGAAGCAAAATTCTTATTCAATAATTATACCCTAGAGATAATAATTATACCCTGAGGCCGGAAAGGGTATTCAAAATTTGATACGGCCAAAACGTGCCTCATGGAAATATTGGTTTTAGACCCTAGGTCTCTTTGAAAAAAATCCGTTTTAAGACATTTGAAGTCGATCTAGCGATGCCCGTCTGTCTGGCTGGTGTGTATAATAACTCTCGAAGGGAGTATCCGATATGATCCAAACTTTGCACATTGTAATATTATTTTCAAACTTAGATTGAGTTCGGAGATGGGCAATATTGGTCCACTCCTTCTGGTACCTCCCCCACAAAATGTCGAAATTTTCAAAAAATATATTTTTTGCACAGAAAGAGAAGCGATAATCCGATTTTGCTCGAACTTTGCAAATCCTAATATTTGCGTTAGTTCTAGGTCAGGTGAGAAAATGGACAGTATCGGTTCTCCCACAAAGTGTCAAAATTTTGAATAATTACAATTCTTATAAAATGTGGTGTAGGAGTCCGATTGTTTTCAAATTTTACACTTCCCAATAATTTTATTAACCAACGGTTTGGTGCTGAGATGGAATATATCGGTCCTCTCCTTGTGGTACCTCCCCCACAAAAGGTCGAATTTTTTTAATATCCATGAAGCTCCTAAAACGCGAAATTAACACTCGATTCCCTTCAAACTTGGCAAATCTCAATATAAAAGAACTGTTATAAAGATGATGAAGGTCGGACCATTCCTTCTAGTACCTCTCCACAAAGGGTCAAACTTTTAAATAACCAAAACGATTTAAAAAATCCGAAATAATCATCCGGTTCTCTTCATATTTCATACAGAATTTTTTCACACAGAATTTTCTTGACATGGAACGGAGGCTATGCCATAGTCGACATCAGTCCCTTCACTTGGAAATGACCTATGGTAGACGAAATTAATTAATTATTAATTAATTAATAATTAATCCTATTTCGATTTGTTCTGGTGTGGACGCCTTGGCACTATTAGTCAACAAACAATACAAATTCGAAGTTTGGTTCCGTCTCAATAAAAATTACCTTAAGTTCGGACTCGGACAGTGATTCAGGACCGTCTGGTACCATTAGTATCACGAAGCTAGGGAGGAGACAATGACACTGACACTTGACCTCGTTAAAAGACAGCAGCAAACAATGCGCCAGATCATTACGGATATGAAACCGATAAGGCTTAGTCAGAATAGTATCTCTGTAGACTGCCCTGCGAAAGTCCCCTGTCTGATGCGGAAGAGTACATGGATACCAGGTGATTTCCAAGAAATTTGACCTGAATAGTCTTGGCGGCCCAATACTTAATTCGTCGCTGGATACCGACAAACCCACATTCTCAAGGAAGGAGAAAGTCGAGGTAGAAGGAGAATAGATGCATCTTCATTTATAAAATGGAAGTGTCGCCGAGTTCTCCCGATACCAAAAACTTCAAATCCAATGAGATGAGGGATAACAAGGTATATCGGCGAGCAGGTTGATTTGTCGACTTATAAAAGCTTACTGAAAAAGAGCTTCAGCTTATTAGAACGAACCTAAAGTTGGTTGGGAATTCTAAAGGACATATCCTAACCCGAAAAGCTGGTTCCTCTCATGTAAAACAGTGGTGAAACTAGTGGGGACCTCAAAAAAAAGCTATGGCTGCGGGAAACCCCTGCTGTTAAGGTGGTGTCAAAAGAGGCTGAAACAAAGAAGCCTTTAAAAAACACCTTTGAGTTGCAAGAGCCGTAGGTACCACCATCCAAAGCAACGGAAGGTAAGGCTGAGGTTAAGTCTATGCCCAAGAAAAATCCCGCGAGGAAGAAAAGGAAATCGAAACCCTTGGTATTCCTGAGCTGATTGGGGCATTGATTAGCACCTAATAGTGAAATGAAAGTACAGTATCAGCGCCATGGAGGTATAGAAAGGCATCCATCAAATTTTAACCAAAAAATTTGGAGCGTAGATTTGTATTTTCACTGCAACGACTATTTGCATTTTCTACTATCAATTCCGGTGCCGTCCTGAGGTGTAGAACGGCTCTGGGAAATTTGCACACTTTTTTCCGGCCTTTGAAGTCGCCGACATGTTTAAACTCGCTCTCTGTCATTTTTGAAGAATTTAAAGTATTTCAAGTCAAAAGTGTAATGGTACAAAGAGCCTCAAACAAATCTGGCCAGATATCTCCTCGAATAGAGAGCTCAGTCTGTACTAAGCATGAATAAATCAATGATACGAAGCAATAGGAATACCAATAGGAATACCACTGCAGCATCCGATCAAGAACGTCCAATATACTAATGTCGTATATTGTGTGAGAATGAACAAGTAAAAAAGCTGTAAGTTCGGCCGGGCCGAACTTTTATAACCTCCACCATTTGGTACAAATTTGGTAATTTCCAAAAAAAAAATAAAAATTAAAAAAATCCGTTAAAAATTCTGTTAAAATCTTAAAAATACCAAATGCCTTATCGACGACTTGGACCTGCACAGGCAACTTTTGTCATAAGTTATTACAATATTTAAATGCGAAACTTGCGAAGAAAAATCTGTTTATAATGTAGCTAAAATCATTAAAATACCGAATATCGGGGGGTACGGTATATGGGGGCTATACGAATACGTGGACCTACATGGCTCATTTTTTGACTTAGGATGTAGTATCCATTTCGAACTTTAAATGCCAAATTTGAAACGATTCCGGTAAATAATGTCGCTAAAATCATCAAAATACCGAATATCGGGGGGTACCGTTATATAGGTGCTATACGAAGACGTGGACCTACATGGCTCATTTTTTGACTTAGGATGTAGTATCTATTACGAACTTCAAATACCAAATTTGAAATGATTCCGGTAAATAATGTCGCTAAAATCATCAAAATACCGAATACCGGGGGGTACCGTTATATGGGGGCTATGTGAAGACGTGAACCTGCACAGATAATTTTCTATCTTAGGCTGTAGTATCCATTACGAACTTCAAATACCAAATTTGAAACGATTCCGGTAAATAATGTCGCTAAAATCTTCAAAATTCCGAATATCGGGGGTACCGTTATATGGGTGCTATACGAAGACGTGAACCTGCACAAATAATTTTCTATCTTAGGCTGTAGTATCCATTACGAACTTCAAATACCAAATTTGAAACAATTCCGGAGAATAATGTCGCTGAAATCATCAAAATACCGAATATCGGGAGGGGGTACGGTATATGGGGGCTATACGAAGACGTGAATCTAAATGGGCCATTTTCTGTTTTAGGCTGCAGTATCTATTACGAACTTCAAATATCAAATTTGGAACGATTCCGTTAAATAATGTCGCTAAAATCATCAAAACACCGAATATCGGAGGGTACCGTTATATGGGGGCTATATGAAGACGTGAACCTGCACAGATAATTTTCTATCTTGGGCTGTAGTATCTATTACGAATCTCAAATACCAAATTTGAAACAATTCCGGTGAATAATGTCGCTAAAATCGTCAAAATACCGAATACGGGGGGTATCGTTATATGGGGGCTATATGAAGACGTGGACCTGCACAAACAATTTTCTATATTAGGCTGTAGTATCCATTTCGAACTTTAAATACCAAATTTGAAACAATCCCGGTAAATAATGTCACTAAAATCATCAAAACACCGAATATCGGGGGTACCGTTATATGGGGGCTATACGAAGACGTGGACCTACATGGATCATTTTTTGACTTAGGATGTAGTATCTATTACAAACTCTAAATATCAAATTTGGAACGATTCCGGTGAATAATGTCGCTAAAATCCTCAAAATACCGAATATCGGGGGTACCGTTATATGGGGGCTATACGAAGACGTGGACCTACATGGCTCATTTTTTGATTTAGGATGTAGTATCCATTACGAACTTCAAATGCCAAATTTGAAACAATTCCGGTGAATAATGTCGCTAAAATCATCAAAATACCGAATATAGGGAGGTACCGTTATATGAGGGCTATACGAAGACGTGAATCTAAATGGGCCATTTTCTGTTTTAGGCTGCAGTATCTATTACGAACTTCAAATATCAAATTTGGAACGATTCCGTTAAATAATGTCGCCAAAAACATCAAAATACCGAATATCGGGGGTACCGTTATATGGGGGCTATACGAAGACGTGGACCTACATGGCTCATTTTTTGATTTAGGATGTAGTATCCATTACGAACTTCAAATGCCAAATTTGAAACAATTCCGGTGAATAATGTCGCTAAAATCATCAAAATACCGAATATAGGGAGGTACCGTTATATGAGGGCTATACGAAGACGTGGACCTACATGGCTCATTTTTTGACTTAGGATGTAGTATCCATTACGAACTTCAAATACCAAATTTGAAACGATTCCGGTGAATAATGTCGCTAAAATCATCAAAACACCGAATACCGGGGGGTACCGTTATATGGGGGCTATACGAAGACGTGGACCTACATGGCTCATTTTTTGACTTAGGATGTAGTATCCATTACGAATCTCAAATACCAAATTTGGAACGATTCCGTTTAATAATGTCGCTAAAATCATCAAAATACCGAATACCGGGGGGTTCCGTTATATGGGGGCTATACGAAGACGTGAACCTGCACAGATAATTTTCTATCTTAGGCTGTAGTATCCATTACGAGCTTCAAATACCAAATTTGAAACAATTCCGGTGAATAATGTCGCTAAAATCATCAAAATACCGAATATCGGGAGGTACCGTTATATGGGGGCTATACGATAGGGTACGATACCTACATGACCCATTTACGAATTTAACCTGCCTACTGGCAAAATATACATGTGTGCAAAATTTTAGCCTTCTATCTCAATTTGTTCGAAAGATAGCGTGATTACAACAGACAGACGGACAGACA